CAACAAATTGTGAAGCACTGTTTTGTCAAGATGACGCAAGTTTGGCTTCATGCTGCCACATTTTCCTTTTAGCCGGTAATTATTAAGATTATATAAATGTGCCACGAATACCATAATTGCTCGGAAAATCGATGTAGGAATCCTACGTTAATGATACTACTGGGGGATCCCATATACAAGGCGCACTTCTGTCATGCATTTCGACCTCGAGCTGCCACTACTTACTCGATATGCATGCGTTTTTTATGCTTTCGGAGGCCGACTTGGTGGTCGTTCCTTTTCTCGAGAGCACAACTTACGGTCGATCTTCCTCGCGTGATTGCAATGACATCCGCATGTCGGTCATCTAACGGAGAATCTGGCTGCTTAGACGGTGGTGAAATTAGAACAAATGAAAATATGCATCTCATTATATCAAATCAAACCAGTTATTACGTTGTGGTGCGATTTGTTACGTTTGTCTCTGGTGTTCAGTTGCTGTCCAGGTGAGGCTTCTTGGCCACTAAACGATGTTGAATATGTTGCGTTTACTAAACAATTAGCTTTTTTGAAACCGCGATAAAAATGAAAAATCGATTAAATAAAATTCATGGTCACTACGTTCCAGGCCAACCTAACCTATGAAGGAGATTTCTTTGAATCTAATTAAATGGAATGAAAAACATTAATAATTTTGCCAAATTTCGCTCAAAAAAAAATTTTCTGGCGGAAAATCTGTGTGTCAGTTTCTGTTGCACCAGCATGTTTAGCAGCGTGTTCTGGAAGGTAAAGGTTACGATCAGGATGGTCAAAAATAGGAACAAAGAGGATGGACGAACATGCTCTGGAGAATGGATCAGCGATACGCCTGAATGTGCTTTTGATCCGAGACACTAAGCCCATCAACGCCGGAACGGCCGACCGTCTCCCAATTTGCTTTTCTAAAAAACTGTTTCAATCTGCTTGTTTTTCAATTATTTAGGAATACAGTTCGCACCGAGCATTGATTTCGTTTAAAAGCAAGTAGTTAGGTTAACTTGACCTGGTGCTGCAACTGATCTCACTTGCAAATTCTTCGCTTCCCAAAGAAAAAGGAAAGAAGGAGGTGTGGGAGAGAAAGGGTTTGGGGATGAAGAAATTCTGAATTTGAGTATTAATAAAAAGTAAAATTCCATCCAAAAGCAGCAAAATCCCATTCAAAATGCACAGTCCTATCAAACGTCCCTATTTTGTTTGCAGACGGAAATACTCGGAAACTGACTGGCAGTACATTGGCAGCACTCCAAAGGTAAATAAGCTAATAGAAGAGGTATAGTGAAATCCACAATAATTTGAATGAGAAACTGCTCACACGCAGTGCTTAAGTTTGACTTGAAAACGCCTTGCTATCTACATTCACTGGTACTCTGTGCATGTTTGCATTTAAGATAATGAAGCTGTGGCTGTGGATAATAGTTCTAATCATCGTTTTGCAAGTTGTTGCTTTAACGCCAAAGAAAACTGGAAAAGATCGAGGAGATACTGAAGATAAGAAATCGACCAGGTTAGACTTATTAAAAAAATTTTATATGAATAGATCGGATTAGATTTAGTATAAAAAGTTTTATATGAATATTTAAACCAATTAGAATTTGAAGTAATGTAGAAAGCTTTCAGGCTAAGAAGAAAGGGGAAGCAAAGGCAAGGAATTTTTTCGCCAAAAGGAAAAATTGGTCGTTTATGGATAAAAGTAAAGCGGCCTATTAAGTCATATTACAATAAAGCATTCTGGACTCTGGCCAGATTCTTCGATGGCAAGGTGCCCCTTTTCTGATATAATCTGTGGCAAACTTCTGCGATAAGCTTTTAAATGAAATTTTTGTTTCTCAGCGGTCGTACATGTGGACGGTACTCGGCAAACGTATACGGATTGTGATGCCACGAATGCCACGCAGCAGAAAAGAAGCGAGGAAACGCTTGGCTGCTCTCAAAAAAGCAATTCGCCGCAATCCGCTGGGACGATGTCTAATCGCAATTTATGCCAACTTAGCGTAGGTTTTGCTATCAGATTTCCATGCATTTTTGCATGCGTGACTTACACAGCGGGACTAAATACACAGCTCTTGCGTGTATCTACCCGTTTATGTGTACATCCGATCGAACAAAACAGCCCCAAATTCACAAAAACTGAAGAGCCTAAATTTCAAAAAAACTGTCCGCTTTCACGAATGAGGCAAAAATCTGAAATCAACTTCCAGGTTTCTCTATGATCTAACACACAGTTCCAGGCTCAAATTCACGTTCATGTTTTTAACTCGAAAACTAGAAAATAAATTTGGAATTCTTCTCAAAATAATTCAGCCAACAGTTTGGAAGTAGTTTCCAATCTTTATCATTCCATGGTAGTAAAGCTGACATTATAATCGCGGAACAAAGCAATTTGGCATTGAAAGCTTGCAAGTCGCAAAAAAGGCTGTGTGAACGATTCACAATCAGTCTGCAGTCCACACTCTTGCTCTCTCCGTAGTAAATACAAGCTGATATCATAACTCTGTGACCGCGAATTTTAGCGCAGTACATGCTCCATTTAAATCAAACCATTACCACTAAAAAGACACAACTACCCGTACTCATTAGCATATCTTTCCTTTGGATATCCGCAAAAATCTGCCTCAAAAACGCAACATGCATGACTTCCAACCACGCCTTGCTATTTTTTTATGCGTTTAGTGCTGTGTAACAGCAGTACAAAACGCGTATTATCACGGGGTTGTCTGTGTATGTTTGTATGCATGTATGTGTGTGTGTCTGCAACTTTCAGTTCGGGAACCACAAAAGCTAGAAAGCTGAAAATTTACGGGAACGTTCCCCATCCACGTGCGACTTCGCAAATTTAAATTCAGCCTAACCGTACCCGCGGGTAACATGTACGACCCCGTAAAAGTTGGGGCGGGTAAAATTATTATCACAGAAACCACGGAAGCTAGAGGGCTAAAATTTTGTGGGCATGTCGCTCACCTATGTGCTACCCAGAAATTTAAATTCAGCTTTCCCCTGCCCGTGAGAGGGGTAAGCTGAATTTAAATTTTCTGGGAATCACATGGGTAAGGGACATGCCCACAAAATGTGCGGCCCCGTGAAAATTTTTGACGGGTAAATTATTATTTCGGGAACTACGGAGTCTAGGAAGCTAAAATTTTAAGGTTGTGACCCTCTGTTTATGAACGATCTTGCAAATTCAAATCTAGCGTCCCCGCGCTCTCAGGTATCACCGACGGCTCCGTGAAAACTTTTGCGGGAAAATTATTATCTCGGAAACCGTAAAATCTACGAAGCTAAAATTTCAGCGTAATGTCCCATTGCCCGCGTACAACCCTGCAAATTCAAGTTCAGTGTACCCGCACTCACGGGTATCATTTACGGTCTCGTGAAAATTTTGGCGGGTAAACTATTATCTCGGGAATCATGGAAGGATATTCACTCTTCAAGGTTTCGAATTCAGCTTTCATGCGCTGGTGCGTAAAATTTTTAACTGTTTTCCAATGTTTGAACTAT